AAGTACTTACTATTGGAATCAGTACGTTCAAACCTTTCGAAATTTGAAAGTTTTATTCCCCCACACGATGGAACATATTTTTTCGATTTTATGACTTTTTATTAAGCAATTACTAGGATCCTACCAGGCTAGGACCTGGCAAGTCGGTGATTTGAAGTTGCTCTAGATACCAACATATATTTTCGAGCAGTCGGCTCTCGGCACTACAGATTTCAAATTTTGTAGGGGAAATTGGCAAAATTTGTTGAATTTTTATAATTTTTTTGCAAAGTTTGAAACGGGGATTTATATGGTGCTTGTTATGATATTTGAGCCTGTTTATATGGTTTAATATTTCATATAAAAGAGCCTGTTTTAAAAAGTTGAATTCAAATTATTTAATAAGTTAAATGAATTATTAATATATGGGTAACAATCGAAAGGGGTCTCAAAAATCTTTTTTTTTTACCATATTTAGCGGGGTTGCATTGGTTTAAAAAATCAATTTCAACTTGATTAAGGAAATTGGATAATTAAAATAAATGCATACAAATGTATAAATCACAATACGGGCGTCAGACGTTTAAGAGAGTTTAAGAAGGTTTTAGTGTGAAAATATTTTTAAGACCTCTTTAAAAAGTCGAACTTAAGTTAAGTTAACTATTACACAGGTTATATCGAATATGCGTGTCAAACGAAAGAGTGTTAAGAAATGTTTGGTTTGAACATTTCGAATGTTTTTGAGGGATGTGCGATAAAGTTTTATTATTTTAACTAAAAATTTATTTTAACGGCACCTTTTGTGTAATGCTACATAACCTCAAATATTGGGAAAAACAGCAGAAGCAACACTGAAATTCGAGTTCAGCGCACCGAAAACCTTCGGAGAAGTATATTCAGGTTCCTGGTTCTGAGATTTGGTCAAATTTTGTCGGCCTATGTAATTAAAGCAAACAATTTTTCATGAAAATAATTGTGAATATTATATTAAAACAATGTGTACACTTTCATTTGTCGCCTAGCGTATATTTTTATTAACAATTAATAAAATTTAACAAAAACAAAATATTTTCAAAATATGGAAAAAAATTTACTGTACGATTTTGGCTGACACTCACTGCGTATATTTACGTACTTCAAATGTTTTTAGATTCCAAATCTATGATCGTGTTTTTTTTTTATTTTAATTTAGGGTTTTTAAGGTAATGTAACCGGTTCTAGTTTGATCTTGCCAAATCGCAGAGTTGCTGTTGTTGTTATAACAACATAGAACTTCCCACAAAGACATTTGAGGATTTTGCTAGCGTCCACTCCTTTTTCAGATGAAAATCTGGATCGTTCCGATTGTCATGAGAGCGCTGCTCTGCCAACTTTGCAGTGGTTCGCAGGGAAACTTTCTGCAAGAAATTTAAGCTACAGATATATGTATGGTATGTATGTACGTATAGAACCACACTTCGCTTTGCAAGTTATTATGAAAATGCAAATTTAATAGTGGAACACATCTGTTTGATTCTGGCAACCAAGAAAACAGCAAGGCCAATAAAACGCATCATTAGCTCTTCGCTATCGATTGTAAATAAGCAACGTGCTTAGAATTTTCTGATTAGCTTTGAACTTTAACATTGTTTATTTTCAGGAATGTCTTAAAAATCTAATTTCAATAAAAATTAACAAAGCTTCGGCCAAAGTGCTCTTGTATTTATGTACATTTGTATGTATGTATGTACAGTGGTCGAAATAATTATATGTAGTCATTTAATTTTTGTTGTTTTTTTTATAAAAATATAGTTCATTTTTTAACAAAACCCGTGCTAATACAAGTTTGAAACTTTGTGCAATATTTAAAAAAGAAACTTTCGTAAAAATTTCAAACTTTCTTAATTAGACTTCCTAGAAAGATTCTGAGTATGCAGTTTTGAGTTCTAGTAGAAAAAAGTACAAGTCTCAAATGGCTAAAAATTCCGGTTTATTTTTTTAATTTTTCCCGCCATCTCCCCCCATTTGCTTCTATATAACGAATACGAATTTTTATATGGAAGAAAACCGAAACATCCTGAAAAAATTCTAAAAAATCTAATTAAAAAGGTTAGAACTTTTAACGAAAGTTTGTTGATTGTTGTTTAAATATTGCACAAAGTTTAAAACTTGGATTCACACGGGTTTTGTTAAAGAATGAACTATAGATATTAAAAAAAAAAACCAAAATTAAATAACAACAAAAAAAATATGTTAAAACTTGTCAAAATGTGGTGCGGCTATAATTATTTCGACCACAGTATGTATGTATATACATATGTATGTGCTGTCAATTTGCACGAAAATGTGCTAAATTGGCCCGCTCCGCCCGCATCCTACTTCGCAAGCAATAATGCAAATTTGCTACGTCTTCAAGTTAACCACATCATTTCTCTGCGTCACACGTCGCAGATTTCATAGACGGTTCACTGAGCACCGAAGGGCGACATTTTAAATGAGAGTAAAAGCAAGTTGAAGAAATAGTAAGCAATAAATAGAGGTTTGACCTCTATGGCCTTCACATTTAGAGAAAATCAAATGAATTTAAATTGCAGTTGATATTTTTGTTGTAGCGGCTACTTAGCCCTACCTAGATCGACTCGTCCCTTAAGCTCAACTAACGAGGGAAGTGTGCCACTCCAACTGGGTTGGTCTATAGGGAGAGAGGCGTTAGTTCAGTGGGACATGATGAGGGGTGTTGCGAGTCGTGAGGTGACTCTCCTCATGCCGGACATATCTGATTTAACCTACTCAGGTAGGAGTTTGGCCTGCTGCAGTATCCAGAGCGAAGTTTGGCTAAGGTGGTGCGAGTCTCCCGGGGCAGACAAAATTTTGTCTCATCAACCTCTGGTTGCTGTGTTTCCAGAACTCCATTTACAGGTCGAGAGTCGGTGTAAGGTGATACCGGCTCCCTGTGAATTCCGTTTATGGCCTGTCGGCGTGCTGAACCTCTGAACTTGTCTGTTAGTTGTATATATGCCTTCTGACGTGCCTAGGTGAGGGCTCTCCGGGAAGCAGGTGTCAGTGCTGTGGCATATTACTATGAACTGCTTATAAAGCATTATGTTGTGCCGCTTGACAGGGAGCATTAAAGCCGCCTCATGTAGGTGGTGCTATGGCGACGGCGTCCAGAGTACCGAGTCTTGGCATGTCGTTAGCTTCGTCCACTGCATCCCGCTAGCCCCCGGCGACTACATGGACGCTGCATAGTTTAGAACTGGCCAGCCAATTGCCTCGTATGTTAGCAACAATTTGTCTATCCATTTGCCCGAGGTTCTGCCGGCTTGTGACTTAAGGGCCTTGTTTCGACTCTCTACTCTATTGACATTGCGGTTGTATGCGCCGAGAAGGAGAGCAGTCTATCGAAGGTAATTCCAAGTATTTTTTGGTTATTCGGAATTGGTGCGCCATCGCCGTGAATTCTCAGCTATAGTTTGACCTCATTCGTGCAGTTGGTAAAAAGAATTATCGAGAATTTCGTAGGAGAGGGTTAGACTCCTTGCAATAAGGATGCGAGAAATTTCGGAGAGGTGGCCGTTCACTTTTGAGCACAAGTTATCAATTCCATTCCTGGACGCTATTATCGGGCAGATAAGAGATAATAAGACTCCATTTGGTGGTTGAGGGAGCAGTGGGACATAATAATTAAACAGAAGCGGGATGACACCGCCTTGTTAATTTTTCTTGGTTTGCTGGGTTTACATATGTCTAAAAATTACTGACGAATATCGACAACTCAGATAATTTGCTGACCATCCTTTGAGTCTCTGTGGGAAAGAGGAAGCCTCAATGTCTTCTAGAAGGGTGGAGCGTCTGACGGTGTCAAACGCCTTTAACAGATCCAACGCTACCTGGACTGTTACCTCACAGGTGCGGTTTCGGTTTAGGCCACACCAGTTATCTGAGTTTTTATGGCTTTGAGTGCTGTTGTTGTACTGTGCACTTTACGGAACCATCGTGGTGCGTAATCGACGAAACTACTCTTCTTTGTAGGCCGGTTTCCCTGGTGGCCGGTTTCCCTGGTGCAAACATTGGCAACCAAGAGGCACGCAGAGCGTTGGCAGCTAGTGCAGCCTTTTGGGCAATCGAGGTTTGGCTTTGTCAATCGGATGATGCAGAGTGAACTGCCGGAATGATGTTTCTACTCTGTCGCCATGCTTCGTTTTGGGTAGTGACCTCTCGGTTAACGAAAAATTACTCACACCAGAGGTGAAATCTTTAGATGATTCTTGGGGCTGCTGCCTTGTGATGGCAGTGGGCGGCGGGATTTCCAATTGCGCAGCACTGCAACAGGTGGCCATGTAGTTGTTCGTCCATTGTTGCATGGTGCTCAGCCCTGGACATGCCCTAAAGTGGCACCAGCCAAGGCGGAAATTGCACTTGAATAATGTCACATTACGATATATCCCGAACACCGACCAGACAGTATGAGGAACCAAGAGATATGGGCTTAGGCGTATAGTTGTGTCTATGCTATGTCTGTGTTATGTCGGAGGGTGGTCGTGCTGTGGTTATGTGGCCCAGGTGAACTCTGGAGTGCCATGGAGGCAGTTCGTTAGAGCAGCTCGCTGTCGGTGAGCTAAGACCTGAGGAGGTTCTAAGGTGTCTCCACCTGTTGCAGGTATTGCACCTGACAGAGGTGGAATTTGGCTCGTTGCGGATCCTGAGCAAAAGAATGCGGAGTAGGGCCTGCCTAATCAAGGTTAGATCACCGAAACAACGGCCCTTGGCCTGATACAACCCGATTCATTCCGGTATGTTGAATTCATTCCGCTATGTTCAACCGGCAGTTGTGGGAATGTTAATTTGCTCGCAATGTTGCTGCCGACTAATATCCCACTTGCTTTCGAATAAACGAAAGCGAATTGCGCCAATCGTTGAAAATACTTTTGCCGTGCCGATTAGTGTCAAATGTTTTTCAGAAATCTTCTTTTTTCCTTTCTCAAAAACATTTCAATAATTCTGAATACTTCAATTCGGGGAGCAACCATAACAATAGAAATATGGAGTCGATGAAGATGCGCGGCGCACCAAAAATTCCGGTGGCAAAGCAGAGCTCAACTGCAAGCGCTAAGAAATCGTCGGTGGTGAGTAGATACCAATTTAGGCCAACAGACTACATACATCCATATGTAGGTATATTTCACATTCAAGGAAACAAGGGGAAAGAAATGGGAAAAAACAATTATAACTGTTGTTGTTATTGTTGTTTTAACATCTGAACATAGGAGGTTTTCCAAAAGAGCATCAGCACAAAATTTTAGTTTTTTTGTTTCTAAATCGTAAACTAGAATAACAAATTCCAAAATGCGTAACCATGATGAAACGCTAATTTCAAATTATGTTACGCAAATTTGATAAATTCATCTTCTGTGACTTGAAATAAATGATATTGATGCTTTGTATTGATGCGATTTGGAAAACAATATTAGCAGCCGGAATTTTTATTTTTGGAAGAAACTTTGCACATTCTATATTAAATTAAACTTCTTTCGACCATTAGGATAAAAAATTAACCGAAGAAGAGAATAAAACAATTAGTGAACTTAAAAAGCTTTACTTGGAAACTATAAAGCTCGACGTGGATTTGCAGCAAGAAATTTATAATATGGAAAAATCCTTTGAGGCAAAGCACAAAGCAATTTTTGAAAAGCGCTACAATATACTCGAGTAAGTTCCACATAACAAACTATAAACTAGCATATCATTCCCTTATTTCTTATCCATATCACTTGCAGAGACTTTCGAAAAAAGTCCCATGGCGACTCATCTAGCGAGAGTAATATATCAAATTTTTGGCTGCGTGTGTTAAAAGCATCGTACACGGAATTCATAAGCAAAAAAGATGAAAAAATACTAACGGTATGTCGAATATCTGTGTGTTGATTGTTGTAAACTAGCATCTTGTGTATGATTACTTCATTCTTTCCTTCATAAACTTAGTATCTCACCGACATACGTTCAAAACTGTGTAACGAACCAACGGTTAAGTTTATCATTGAATTTCATTTCGAACCTAATGAGTTTTTTTCAAATCGTATTCTGACCAAAACATACTTTTTAAATTGTTTGCCCAATGTGGACGACCCGCTTTCATATGATGGTGCTGAAATTTATAAATGTGAGGGCTGTAAAATTGACTGGAAGCAAAATTATAACGAACAGGATAAAAAAGGTTGGTCATCGGTTGTTACACTCACAGTTCTCTGTTATCAGGCGTGTTACAAATGTATTAAAAA